GGGCAGCCGGATAAGTCACAGTGCAGCGCCCAAGCGGTAGGCGCTGCATATTAAATGTGTGGCGCCCGACGGCTAGGCGCTGCACACTGTGTTGCGCCTAGCACCGAGGCGTTGCACAGCTGGGTGCGGGGCCAGGGCTGCCACGGTGGACTGGCTTGCAACGCCTGCTAGCTAGGAGCTGCACCGTAGGGTGTGGCGCCGACGTCGCGGGCGCTACACAAAAGAGTCATGTGTGTGAAATAGTTTCACAACCAGTTCATTCTGTGAATTGATTTCGTCCATGGGTCAAAATTGTCAAATTTGCCACACTAGCACACTGTAAAAAACAAAGATAAACACCTCTCATCGCCGCCCGGCCGCCGGACACGACGGCTACCGCACGCCACAAAATGCAAATGCATCCCGAACAATTCCGCATCCTGGAAATATCCCCAAACCCTCGCCCGCCGCCGACCGACGACCTCCAGATCTCCGCTCATGGATGACGACGGTGCCGCCTCCCCGTCGCCCTCGCCGTCACCGTCGCGCTCCCCTTCCTCGCTTCCGATCGCCGACCCCGTCACCGTCGCCGCCGTGCCCCCCGGCCACCTCGCCCTCGCCATCCCTATCCATAAGCATGGTCCCTCCAACGGCGGCGGAGGGAGCGACGGCGCCACCTCCACGCTGATCGACGCCTGGGGTGAGCGCTTTGTCGCGCTCGGCCGCGGCAGCCTACGCCACCCGCAGTGGCAGGAGGTTGCCGAGGTCGTCTCCTCCCGCGATGGCTACTCCAAGCCGCCCAAGTCCGACGTCCAGTGCAAGAACCGTATCGACACCCTCAAGAAGAAGTACAAAGTCGAGAAGGCCAAGTCGGACTCCTCATGGCCATTCTTCGACCGCCTTGACTTCCTCCTCGCCCCAGTCCAGAAGCTCCTGGGCAATTCTGGCGGGCCAGCAGGAAATTCTGGCTCCAATCCCAACAACCGGAGCACCGCACCTATGGCCCCGCGTGTCAACTTCCCTCAGCGCACCCGCACGGCCTTTCCCTCGTCAGGTATGAAGCGGAGGCTGCCATCGCCGCCACAGGCGTCAGCATCGTCGGAGTCGTCCGACGGGTTCCCACCTGAACCACTGGCTGAGGCCGTGAACGGCAAGAGGCAACGCCTCGAGGAGTCGGCGAATGGAGCGGACAGCAGCGACCGTGCACAGGGCCTGCGCGACCTGGCACAGGCGATTCGACGGCTTGGGGAGACATACGAGCGCGTGGAGTCCTCAAAAGGGGAGCATGAGCTCCGGATGGAGCGGAACCGCCTGGATGCCGCACGCGAGCTGGAGGACCAGCGTGTGCAGTTCTTCCTCAAGATGCAGATGGAGATCTCGAAGGCCAACAATGGTGCTCCACTCGCTGTTCCACTTGCTGCCGCTGCCATGGTCGGTAATTCAGCCTCTACAGCAGAAGATGGCGACTCGCCAGCTACTGCTGATGGCAACGGTCCAAGGAGAGCCTCTATGGCAACCGATGTCATGGCCAGCAGCAATCACCATGTCCGGTACCGTGTCAAGGACGACAGGCATCACCATGCCTCACAACGCCCATCTTACCTGTACAACGAGAACAATGTTGTTGCTGCGGATGCCGGAGGCATTGGTAGTGGCAGCGATTCCAGCAACAAGGAAGACGAGGAAGAGATGGAAGACGAAGAGGAAGAGAGCCAGTAAGGTCACTCCGGGGATAGCAGTTCAAGAATTTGTATCTGTTTTTTTAGGTAAGAATTTGTATCTGTTGATTGGCATTGCCCTGGTTAAAATTGCTCCCAGTTATGCTGGTCTATCTCGGAGCAAATGGCTACTGAGCTTGTAGTGGTATTAGCAACCAGGAGTAGCAGAGTTATGGTGAACACCTGTGGGTGGGATGTTTGTAGTAACTTGTAGCTGCCTGTTTGTGCTTTTGATGTGATTCTGTGATATTAAGGATGTCCCTCCCAGGCCCAGCGAATGTAGCATGATTAGTTATATGGTGGTGTTAAGGTTTGCTCCTTTTGGAGGCAAAATTTCGTGTTTTGACCCTTTTTGCAAACAAAATCGGGATCTGACCCCGGTTCGGAAAAAATTCGGGATCTGACCCTTTTGCCTATCGCCGGGCCACACGGCGGTAGGCCTGTGCATGCTACCGCCAAAGGGATCTGCGGTAGCCCACTTATCCACGTCAGCCCCAAGTAAACGGAACCGTCTCCTGCCGTCCACCCTACTGCCAGAGCCCACGGCGGTAGGCTCTGTAATCTGACCGTTTAGGCTCTGGCGGTAGGAGCTGAAACCTTATAAGCCCGCGCGGCCGGCTCGTGGGGCCCACCCACGAACCCGCCCCCATCTTCTTCCCCTAGCCGCGGGGCGGCGCAAGAACAGAGAGCACAAGCTTTCTTTCATCCCCTCCACTCCCCCCTCCAATCTCCTTCATTTGGGCACCATTTTTGCGGATCGAGATGGCTCCAAAACGGGAAAAGTAAGCTCTCTCAATCCCTCCAATTAGTTCTACTCGAAACACTTTCGATTTGATGTATTATTTGGTGCAAACAAACCTATCTTTTTACTTTGTTTTTATCCTAGGATTGCTTAGATTGATTATATATGATGTATATAGTTGAATATAAACTCTAATAACTAGTTTTGGAGATTATGTGTAGTTTTGATATGAACCCTAGTTCATCACGAAGGTAGTTGGAGATTAACATTATTTTTGAACAAGTGGTGATGTGATTGATGTTGGAGGGATTGTAAGTAGTTGCTTACATGTGATTGAAATATGTATATGCATTTTTTTGAACAAATGGTGATATGATGGATTTTGATGAATGATGTATATGCAATTTTCTAATTGTTTCAATATACGATAAATGATGAATGTTGGTGAATAATTTATTTACATTGATCATTTATATTGGTTGAATATATGATAAATGATGAATGTTGGTTGAATATGATTCATTTATATTTGGACTTGATATGTTCATGTTTGTTCAAAATGATACAAGTTGGTTGAAAATGACATCATTTCTTCTTGTTTAATTGTTATAGGCGGCCACCCCTTGCGCCAGAAATCGGCGTGAAGTACACGATGCTTGATCATGCTTTCGACAACGGTCACCGCGCCCGTTTTATGGAGAACGGAGTGGTAATGTCTATCGTCAATTTGATGTATTGTTTATTATGACAAAATTAGTTACTAACAATTCCATTTACATTCTGACAGATGCTCCCCCTATTGCGGATGAGGGGCCACACGAAGGCTGTGCAGATGCAGTACGACGAGCGCTACACTCCGTATTTTAGGAGAGCACGGATGTTGGGTTCGTTCTTCAGTTCAAAAAGCAGCCGCCGACGCTCGTGCACTCGGCTCTTACGGCATTGATCGACCGGTGGCGCCCCGAGACGCACAGTTTTCATCTCACTTGTGGTGAGATGACAGTGACTCTCGAGGACTTCGGCATGATCACGGCCCTGCCCATCGAGGGCCATGCTTTGACTGGGCGAGTGGAGAGGGCCAACTGGCAGGAGAGGGTGATCGCCCTGATCGGCGACTGCCCTCCCATGAAGGGGAACAGAACATCCGGTGTGCGGCTCAAGTGGCTCCTGGAGAACCGGTCCGTTTGCCCGCAAGATGCCGATCAACGGATCGTGGAGCAGTACGCGAGGGCCTATTTGTGGTACCTTCTGACGGAGGTCGTCTTTCCAGACTGCTCGGGGGATTGCGCCCTATGGATGTATCTTGGATTCCTGGAGGACTGGGATGCGGGGTACAGCTGGGGGTCCGCCGTCCTAGCTGTAGCGCCCCAGATGCAACTTTCCATATTCGTAACTCCGACTCTTGCCATTTCCGGTTATGTGATTTATTATTTCCTCCGTGGTTGGGTTTTTGTCTGTTGTTTTGCATTTTGTCTTGTTATGCATCTCGTCTCATAGCATCATGCGCATTGCATCGGCATCGTTTTCATAAAACTTGCATCCGTCCGGGTTTCCCCGATTCTCTCTGTTGTCCGTTCTGAGCCCGACCACACTCGCACGCGCTCGCGGCACCTCCGAAATATTATTTTATAAGTGGCATAAAAATGTTCTCGGAATGGGTTGCAACTTGTCGTGCGGTCTTATTATGGTGTAGACAGGCCGCCTGCCAAGTTTCGTCGCATTCGGAGTCCGTTTGACTGCCCAACCGTTAAATATAACCGCAATATAGTCGGTATATTCGTCGGACGTTTCGGTCTCTGAAACAGTTGCCGGGCTGCATTTCTCCCCTCTTCTCTCAGCCCAACCCCCTCTACACAGCCCACCTAGGCCCAGTCTACCTCTCCTCGCGTCCGAAACCGCCAGATCGAGATCCGAGGGTCCGAAACCCCTCCAAAACCCCCCTAACCCTAGCCTTACCCTATATAAACACCCCTCATGCCATTTTGGGCATCTCCCAGCCCTTCCCCTACCTCTGTCCAGCCTCCACCCGCCACTTGTCGCCGCCAGATCCGCTCCACCGCCGCCACTTGGCCTCCTCCCGCGCCGCCACCTCGTCGTCGCCACGTGGCGCCACCCCAGTGGGCAACGCCGCTGCCTAGTCCAACCAGAGGGCGCCACGGCGCGCCCCGCTCTCCCCCACTTCGCCGGGCCCTCCGAGGCCCAGATCCAGCCCGCCGTGGGTCGCCCGGGCCCGATCCGCCGCCGATGCAGCCCGAGCCGCCCAGCCCCTGCCCCGAGCAGCGCTCGCCCGCAACCTCGTCGGAGCCGCGCCGCCCAGCTCCTCTGCGCCCCTCGTCCGGCCGCCGGAGCGCGTCACTGCCGATGCCAACTCTGCCGCCAGGTCGCGCCTCCCCGTCGCCCTTCTCCCTCTCGCTTCTCTCTCTCTCTCTCTCTCAGATCTCTCTCTCTCCCTCTCCAGGAACCTCGCCGCCTTGAAGCACCTCACCGGAGTCGTCCCCGAGCGCCCCCGTCGCCGGGAATGGGTCCTCGACCTCGTCCTCCACCGGATCTGATGGATCCCGGCCTACCTCGACCTCCCCTGCCTCGCCATCGCCTCGAGCCGTCGCCGGAGTTCAAGCCCCGCCGCCGCCTTGTCCTCGTCCCGCTCGGGAGCGGGGACGAGCGCCCGCTCGTGGGCTGCCTCCCCCCTCGCGCACGTGGGCTTTCCAAGCCGGCCCAGCCCGACTCCTCCTCCTCGGCCTGCTTCGGCCATCTCCACCGACCTGGGCTTGGCCCATGGTGAGCAGTCCCCCCAGCCCTTCCCCTGTGCACTCTTGGGCCAGCTAGATTCGGCCCATCTCATTGTTTTTTTCCCTGGACGGATTTTGCGATTTAAACCAGTGCATTAATAATTACAGAAAATGCCCCTGTTTTAAACTGCTAATAACTATTTAACCATGCATCCAAATAAAACATGTCTTATATGCAATATGCTTAGAATTTCATCTAGTTTAATAATATGCAACTTTCACCCATGTTAAAATTGTTTAAATGTGTTGTTTGAATTAATTTGCATAAATGCCATGTTAAAATGATTTATTTCATAACTAAATATCCGTAGCTCGGAATTAAATGTTCTTTATATGTAAATGGGGTGGAAAAATGCCTAGTTTAACATGGTGGCATTGTTTTGCATGTCTAACAACTTTAAAATTGTGTTTAGGGCAGAACAGTACCAAATTCATAATTTGCATATGGGGATTTTCCGGAATTGTTGTTTGTTACTTCCGGCCTCATTTAAACTTGCCTAGGTAGTTTTCTTATGCTTCACCTCTTGACATGTTTAACAACATTTAATAGTGTTTGGTAGCTTAAACGAGATCAACTAAATATGTCAATGTGGTGTTTTGTCAACATGCAACTCGTTGCATATTGAGCTCCACTTAACTTGTAGTATTGTTTGTTGCACTTTGCCATGCGATGCCTCTTTAAACCGGACATGCATCATATTTGCTTGTGCATCATGCCATGATTATGCTTGTGTGTTTACCTTGTTGTTTGCTTCTTTCCGGGTTGCCTTCGGTTTCGTTCCGGAGTTGTGAGGATTCGTTCGACTAGTTCGTCTGTCTTCTTCATGGACTCGTTCTTCTTCCTAGCGGGATTTCAGGCAAGATGACCGCTACCCTGGATCTCACTACTATCATTGCTATGCTAGTTGCTTCGTTCTATCGCTATGCTGCGCTACCTATCACCTGTTTATCAAGCCATCCAAATTGCCATGAACCTCTAACCTTTGACACCTTTCCTATGCAAACCGTTGTTTGGCTATGTTACCGCTTGCTCAGCCCCTCTTATAGCGTTGCTAGTTGCAGGTGAAGTTGAAGATTTCTCCATGGTGGACAGGATTTTGGTTGGGATATCACAATATCTCTTATATTATTAATGCATCTATATACTTGGTAAAGGGTGGAAGACTCGGCCTTATGCCTGGTGTTTTGTTCCACTCTTGCCGCCCTAGTTTCCGTCATACCGGTGTTATGTTCCCGGATTTTGCGTTCCTTACGCGGTCGGGTGATTTATGGGACCCCCTTGACAGTTCGCTTTGAATAAAACTCCTCCAGCAAGGCCCAACCTTGGTTTTACCATTTACCTCACCTACCCCTTTTTCCCTTGGGAGTTGCGCATCCCGAGGGTCATCTTTATTTTAGCCCCCCCAGGCCAGTGCTTGTCTAAGTGTTGGTCCGAACTGAGCTGCCCGCGGGGCCATCTCGGGGCAACTT